TCCAAAACCACCTCGACAGACACACTCAGAAGTAATACTTTACTAGCTACTTTGGCACCCCTTCGCCCAGGCTAATTGACACATAAAATGAACCCTCATAGTAATCATCTAGCAAACCCTTTGTTAACTAACAAACAGAGTGCAATTTCAATATGAATTAGACCTAACACTAAAAGCAGCTATAGTCTAGTGAAAGTATATATGCCATTGAGGACAAAGTTTCCTCGTTTAGGAAGAAGAATGAGCCCAGAATCAGAAAATTGAGAAAGAGGCATTTAGATAGATAAATATTTAAGCCATAAAATTGGGTAATATCACCAGAAAGAAGTTTGGAAGAACACTTTTTGAGAGACAGAAAGAGAAAACATAAAGACTATTATACGAAAAGGCAGTCAGAAAAAAAAAAAAAGATAAATCAATAAAGCTAGTGTTTCAGAAGTCACTGGAGAAAGATCTTCCAGGTAGAGATATTAGTTAACATTGGGTAATTAAAGAGAAAATTTGAAGAAGATAATGGTGGAGAAGTAATTAATGGATTCAATAAGGAAGTGATTAGAGGTGAGTTTTGAAAGTATGTGTGTGTATAAATATGTATAAATATATGTATGTGTATATATACACATACATATACATACATGTACACTATTGCATATATATTCATATATTAGTGTATACTAATGCATTTTGTTTTCTGTACTTTATATAAAGTACAGAATATATAAACTACAGAAAATATATATACATATGTTTATATATATAGGCAACACTACACATTGTTCTTAAACTTTCTCACACCAAATAATTAAAATCAGTCTATATGAGCAATACATTCATATTGAGGGTCCTGGCCTCTTTTCTGAGAGCACAAAGAAAGTAATATATTAAGATACTTTTTTATATTAAAAAAAAAAACACTGTACCTTCAGTGAAGGATTGGAATGTGATTTTTATAATTGAATATTTTACTTTGTCACATATTTGTCAAATTGGGAGCAGAGAGTATAATTGTCTTTTGAAGAAGCTCAAGGATGTACCAAAATTAAAATTTGTACAGATAGATGGACTTGGTAGATATTAGATTTGCTTTTTGTTTTGTTTGCTGTTGCAGTATGTGTGTTCTTTCCTTTGGAAAGATATAATTGAGCATGTTTATAAGCTAAAGGGAGATGAAAGACTCATTCTTCAATGTCTAAACATGTTAGCTCCTGAGAGTAAAGTTGATGGAGAATTTCAGCTCTAGCCCATCACTACCATAAAAGTAAATTCAAATTTAACTTTATCTCAGATAAATAATAGAAATAAAATATAAAATTTAATACAAGTTTCAGAATGATTCACTTAAATGGTTAAGTACTTTGATAGACATAACCACAGAATAAGTCCTACCTAAAAAAGGTGAGTCTCACTTAATAGAAATAATAATAATACCAATCATAATAATCAGATCTAAAATATAACTGTGTGCTTTCTATGTGACTGGTACAGTTAGAAATGCTTCACATGTGTTACCTAATTTATTCTACATGATTCTCCCCAACAGCTGCAGGAGGTAGGTAGTATTATTATGTTGATTTTATAGACAGGGATACAAACATTTACTTCCCCATGGTCCCACAATTAGTACTTGACACCCGTAGGCTATGAATCTAGGCAGTCTGAAAACCTTACTCTTAGTGTCCGAGCTAAGGAAACTGTCAAAACTGGACTGATTTAGAGCCCGGAAACATGAAATATGGAGCCTCCCCTTCTTTCCTCAGGTCAGCTGATGCTCTTTCAGATTGCGCTACCCTTGTGGGCTGTCAACTCCCCAGCTCCCTGGATGTATCGCTGCTATAAATCTGTACCTTAATCGTTGTAACAGGACTGTTTCTTTTTCAAGTATCAAAATCAAATTCTGCTCCATAAAAATCTTTATAAATGAATCCAATGCAACTTGTTAGGGTGCACCTAGAGAGATTCTTGAAAACAGCAAATAGGGCCCATTATACAATTTTGCAACAGATGGTTCCTTTCCCATCAGCAAACAAAAGATCAGCTGTATCACCAAACAGTTTCACTTAGATAATATTCCCCTGAATATGAAGATTTCTACTTGTCAAAAAGAAATCTGCTCTTCAAAGGAAGAGAAATAAGAACTTTTAAAAATAATTCAGCTGCACTCTGAATGATTTAAGGCATATGCTAGCTGTGGACAACCTGGTCACCCTGCTGTAGTTTCAAAACAGCTGTAAATAAGACAAAACCATGAAAGCTCATTGTCATTTCTCTGAGTGACTGGGATAGAAGAATTTTCAAGTACCTCAGCAGGTACCGTTTGTTTCTTTCACACTTGTCTCATTTTACTTCTTTTCCCAAACCTGATTTAAGCAAGAAAAAGAGAAACACATGTAGGAAACAATGAATCCACAGTGATCACATCATATGTTTTTGTGACACCTTTTCAGATTGTTCTAATGTACTTTGTTTTTGTGCTTTGTACACTGTTTATTGCATTGTTTTGCTCATGGTAATTTTTATTTCTTTTTGCTTGTTCTGTATCTCTGTAAGGCATCTATGGACTGTAATTGGGGAATTACTTCTGTTGTTTTGGGCTCTTGATTTTTTCATTACTCTTGTTCCAACAATTATTAACCTCTTCATTTTCTACCATTATTTGTTCTGTTGTCCAGTAGCTTTGTTTTTCACCTACTAATATGCCAATGAAGATATTTTGTTTCTATATCAACAACTAGAAAAATACATTGCCATTTTAAGGAAAATATCTACTAAAAGTTAGTGAACATTTTCTGGCAACAAAATAAATATGAGGTTACTCAGCTTTTAACGTGTATAAAATTTACCTTGCTTCTCAGTTCATTAATAGGCATTTTTCTGCCACCAAACTAATAACATTCATAAATGCTAAGTTTTAAAGTAAGATTACTCACCATAAAAAAGTATATTACTTTGTTCATTTAGGGCATCACTCTCTAGCATTTTTGAGCATGTAGAATCCTTTCAAAGTAAAGTTGATAAGTTATGGAGCCTCAATTCACTCATTTTCTTAAAAATGTATATGAATTTTATTTGTAAGTATTGTATTCGCTGAGGAATGTTTCTCAGAAGATTTAGACTTCTCCAATGTAGAATCTATAGCAATAGAGAACAATCATATCATTTCCATACCTGAAGTCTTAGTAAGATTTACACTCATGCATTTCTCTAATAAGTGTAATTACACTTCTGTGTCTACAAAGATGACAGAGAAATGGCATGAATATTCTCTAGGTCTATTTTCTTATCTACAGATAAGAGAGATGGCTTGCATATTCTCTAATGCTAGTCAACTGAGTGATATTGTCTGAGTCTTGGTTAACTGAAATCTCTGAAAGTCTCTCTCTTTTATACTCTTTCATGTTATTTCTTTACATTTTTGCAAACTTTGAAACTTATTATTTTATCATTTAAATGATATTCATTCATTTTGTTTTGTTTTCTTTTTCCTTCTCCTCTCCTACAGAGCTAGTTCCATATTTCATTTTCTACTCAGTCTTTGACAGCCTGAGCAGTTAGAGAAACTTATATACAAGAGTTAGCTATGTTATGTTCAAAACACCATACAGGATTGTTCACCTTTCATCCGGATGTTAGTCCCCACTGAGTAAATAAAGGAAACTAGTCCAAGATGATCTGTCATGTTTGGTTTTATGTGCTGCTCAAGTTAAACTTCTAAGTCATCCTATTATTCACTAGACTGCAAGTACAGTCCATTCTCATGAATAACAATATCAAAATTAGACAAAATAAGATTTAGCACTTATGTACTAACCACAGCATGTGTATTTAAGTCAAATAAAAGTTAATGTTACTAAATCTAATTATTATAAATTACATGTCTACTTTAAACTTATTACAAGATTTATTTATAGCATGTATAAGCTAATGTTTTATGTAGATTCAGTGGTGGTTGGTAGATGATGTTTAAACAATGTGAAATTATATTTTAGGTTCTAATGCAAATATAATCTGTATTACCACATATGAGGAGAACAAAAATAATTGGAAGGGTCAAATTGATATGAGAACAGAAGTAAAAATAAGAAGTATTTTAAGCAAACAATATATGCATGCAAGTATAATTAATTATTCATAAAATGATTATTTTGCTGAATTGAACCTTGGCTTCCCAAAGCTGGGATTACAGGCTTGAACCAACCAGCGCCCGGCACCTTTGGCATCTTCTACCAGATTTTCTTGCATTCTGAACCGGGCGCGGTGGCTCAAGCCTGTAAGCCCAGCACTTTGGGAGGCGAGACGGGCGGATCAGCCAAGTTAGGACCTTCGAGACTCATCCTCGGCGAACACGTCGTGAAAACCACCGCTCTACTAAAAAAAATAACAAAAAAACTAGCCGGGCGAGGTGGTGGGCTGTAAGTCCCAGTACTCGGGAGGCTGAGGCAGGAGAATTG